CTCCAACTCAGCCCAGGATACAGCTTCCTTTCACCCTTCCCGCCACCGCCTCAGGGAAGACCCCCACTCAGCTCCCTCAGGTATATGGAAACATCCCCCTTAAACCCCACCCCTGGCAAAAGGCCACAAGAGCCAGCCTCCCTTTGTTCCAGTTGAGAGAATTTCTCATCTTCCCCAGATTCTCTCCGTGTCCTCAAATATAACAAAGCCCCTTTCTCTTTTTCCTTCTGCCTGTTTCTCTGCTGCCTCCAGGGGCCTGAAAAAAACTATCAATATCAACCTTTTTCTCTTTATTCTTAGACTCTCCCCTGAATGTTTCCATCAACTTCCTGTTCCAACTTGTCCTCCTGCCTCAGCCTCCCAGAAGGCTGGGTTTACAGGTGTGTGCCACCCACTTCCTGTCCCTGCATCCTATACAGGAGGTTGTTTTTTCCTGTCACAAATATTTTTTTCCCCTCAAATGGGGATTGAATTCAGCATCTCTGAGCTGAACTACATTCTCAGCCTTTTTGTTTTCTCTTTTTAATTTTGAAACAAGCTAAGCATAGCTAATAAATCACTAAATTGCTTGAATTTGAGAACTTTCTGCCTCAGCCTTCCAAATGGCTGACATTACAGGGGTATATCATCCTGCTCAGCAAGAATTTGAGTTCGTTTTGTTTTGTTTACAGGGTCTCACCATGAAGCTCAGACTCCTAGTGCTCCTCCTGTTTTCAGCCTCCCCAGCGCTGGGATTATAGGTGTGCGCCACCATGCCAGAGCTCAATTGCCAGCTCAGAGCACCCAGGGGCTGGGCCAGGGTGGCATGTGGTGCTAGGAATCGAACCCCGGGCCCTGTGCTTGCCTAAGCAGGTGCTTAGTCCACTGAGCTATCTCGCCAGCCCAAATTTGAGTTTTTGAAGGAGAAAGGAAAGGAAGTGATCTGGTGGAAACATTAGTAGGCCATACATTAATAATACTTGTTGCCAGTTGAGGTGAATGGATTGCAAATTTGAGCCCAGCCCAGACAATTTAGTGAGACCCTAAATAAAAATTTTAAAAACAAGAAATTAAAAGAATTGGG